AGAATATACACTCTCTTATAAGCCATAAAACAAGTAAAGTAATCTCCTCTATTCTATACACAAACTGCAGCAACTATTGGCATCTTGCTTGTCCTGTTGCCAGACAGCAAAGTCTATTCATCGTCAAATGTGACTACCGTCTCGGAGACTAGTCGAACAAAACGAACCACTGATTGAATCATGTAATTGGTAATGTTAATTTATTAACAAACAGGTTTAGATCTCATGCCGAATAGGTGTTGTTCGTGACGAATATTGGCGCATGCATACAGTGAATCGAGACCTGCCGGCAAATCACCATTTTCTATTTACAAAGTGTCAACAAATGGCCACTGTCGGCGTTGACGTGTGGAAGATTTGCTGTAACCGAGTGCAGACGACTGACAGACAATGACAAGCATGCAAGCAAACAGCTGCGAGTCTCGTCAGGCATCGTCTTCATTTATCCGCAATATTGTCACTGTTTGCATGAATTAGCCAATTAAAACATGACCAAATTGGGTCCTTTTGTCTCGGTTGCAAGTGTTGCTGCCGGTTTGCTTACAATATTCTTGCCTCATCCGACAATGGCCATGACGACGCAACCAAAGAAAGCCCAACATGGAGGCCTCGGAGTGGATGGACAGGCAGTCAACAAAGTGTTTTTTCCCAACTGACAATGAGTCTTCGAGACAGACTTTTTCTGCAATGCCTGTTGATTCGTTTCCATTTTGACGTGAAAGTGAGACAAAGATTCTGGCACACTTGCACCAGAAATGTGTCAATAAATGTGGGTTTTGACGGTTGTCAAAGGCTAGAAATGTGTGAAAATTGGTAAAATTGTGTGTGATGAAGAGTGTCGAGGGTGTAGCCGACCAGAAGACGGGCAACAAACAGATTCCTCTTGACCGACGACCGATTGGCTCTACAGCAGCTCTAATGCCGGCGCTGTCTGCGAGGCCAGCTCCTTCTGTTCCGGTGATGCTGGCCAATCTTTGTCCGCCATTTGGTCGACAGCATCACAGCGGGATGATGTTATAACAATTAAATTCTATTTCGAAGGTATGAAATTAAAAAAAACCGCCATCTGATCACAAATGTCTAAGATTATTCGCATCTTGCTTGTCCTGTTGCCAGACAGCAAAGTAACCACCCTCAAATGTGACTATCGACTCGGAGACTAGTCGAACAAAACCAACGACTGACTGAATTATGTAATTGGTAATTTATTATTATGGTAATGTTAATTTGTCAACAAACAGGTTTAGATCTCATGCGAAATTGGTATTGTTCGTGACGAATATTGGTGCATGCAAACAGTGAATCGAAACCTGCCGCCAAATCACCATTTTATCTCGGTTCCGCATCCAATAAATTTACAAAGCGTCAAGAAAAAGTGTCTCTCTCTCCCTATACTGATCCATTTTGATGAGTTATAAATAGGGTTTGGGTTTGTTCTGCCCGAGAAAGAATGTCCCAGTAACGTCAACCTGGATCAGCCTCGGTGATGTGGTGCGATCGCGTTTTGGTACGCCCTTCAAACCTCTTTAAAATGCACACATTTACAGTGTCTATGCCACTGTTAGATACAAAATCTAAAGGTGATTGTACAAAATGATGCAAACTTGGCAGTGCTGAGAGGATGAATATGGTGTTAGATGGATGGATGGATGATTGATATCAACGGTAGTTGGATTGATGAAG